GTCGCTCGCAGCAAAAAGCACACCAGCCGTCCTGCGTGGTGGAAACTTTCTGACAAAGTACTGAAGAGCAGCAGAGTCAGAACCGAATTAGCATTTTTCAGATTCGGAAGCACATCACAGCATGAACCAAACTGCAGCCTCTTGTCAGCGGCGCATCATTATGCAGACCTGCACTGCTCTGTGGATGGAGCTGGGCTTTTTTCTTTTCCTTCCCTCAGCTCAGGAAAACCAGTTAATGACAGCGTGCAGCAGTGCTGGAGTGTTACACAACAGCTGGATGGCATCTAAATCCGTTAAGTTAAGGTACCGTGGTGCTGATTGAGAGGATAATCTTGCTGCTCATTCTCATGTGAGCCAAAAAACACGTGAACATTCAATTTATTAATCATTTCATATCTTCTATTAACTCTCCAAAGCAAAACTTGTTTCCAGCCTCGTTTTCTTTCATAATAACGTCACTGATTGAATTTCTTTGGTGGATTTTTGCCAAAGGTGATGGAAAAATTAACAATGACATAAAATAAACAGCAGCTTAACAAAAAAATATGATTTCCCCCAAAAAGTTTGCATAACAGTTCTTCAGAACAGTGAGAGGCTGAGCTGGTGTCTTCTGCGCTCCTCTACTGCCCTCCTCTGGTGATGAATGTTCATCTGCTCACTACAGCACAGATGTACCAAAACTGCACAGCTGACAGTGTTGTGCTATTGGTTCATATTGCAGTCTGTCTCTATGGTGTTAAATTACAAACAAATTTATCAGTTGCACCTGCAAAAAAGACTTTAATCTGAAGGGTAATAATCAACCTGAGCTGGTAACTGAGCCAGTCGTCCTCAAATCCGTTAAAGAAAAGGCAAAATTCACATTCAAATAACAAGAAACTGAAAAAAGTAATAATAAATAAAGATTTGCTAAATTATAATTTAGTGAAATAAGACATTGCTTTGAATTGTGGTTAAAAGAATAATTTTTTAAAAATAAATAAAACTGTCCCGGACACATCAGAGCACTTTGCTGATGAGCAGTGGGCCAGAATACCTGTCAACAGGTGCACAAGTCTGACTGAGAGTTACAGGAAACACCTGATTGGCTCAAAGGGTTGTTCAACAAAATATTAATTTATGGGTCCCATCATGCTGTTTTTATGTTTTTTTGTTTTTTTGTTTGTTTGTTTTTGTTTTTAAAAAATATTTCTGTTAAACCACAATTCCAAGGCAACGTCAAGATTTTCATTATTTTTTTTATTTATCATTACTTCTGTCAATTTCAACTTATTTCAGCAGGTTTTCCTCCTTTAATAGGAGGGTATGAATACATTTAAAGGACGACTGTATATATTCCTTGCATTAGAATTAGAACATCATTAAGTTGATCGTGTTTAATTCTGCAGACCAGCAAAATTAACGAGTGGCTCTGAGTGGAGTGTGTGAATCTGAGGTGTTTGTAATATTGTGAGGAAGGACGTACATACAGCGGACATGGAAATAAAGAAATGCAGGTAAAACAAACTGCAGGTGATCCTGTAGGACTTTAATATAAAACCATCTTACATGACTGCTGTCATCAGTAATGAGAAGACGACGCTACTGGGCCAGAACACAAGGTCAAAATACTGTATATGCAGTGTATCTCTGATAGTTTAATCCGTCTACGAGCAGCGTTTTCGTCCATCGTCCTGCAAAAAATCCACCTGACACAGCCTTTAAGTGTTCAAACAGGCCAAGACTTCCCTGTCTTCATCATTTAACCTTAACCGGGTGTACGGCTGACGTCGGTCGAACGGGGGATTAAAATCTATTGAATTATTGATCCAAAGGTAAGACGGAGTTCAATCTGTCTCCTGTTAGTTTTTCCCTTGATTGCTTTTGATGTGTTGGCCTGGACGTCTGCACCACAACAACCTTCTGCAGGGAGCAAACGTTGCTCTTTGATCGCTCCATGTTACCCCACAACCTCCAACCTTAAACAAACCTTAGGAAGGCTGTCAGTCTAAAGAAATTAAAAGCTGATTAAATGTCCAATACATAGACACAAATCTAAGGTGCAATATGCATGATGTTGAACATAAAATAAAGCATTAACATGGCAGCAACAATTATCTGCTCTATAAAAATGTAGTGAAGTAATGGTGTCTGTAGAAGAGCATGAAGTTTTTGTGTGTTGCAGCTTATCTGGCTGCAAATGCATGTCCGTGCATGTGAGTCCATCCCGTTGGACCTGCTGGGCCTCTGTGCATTCATAAATAGATCCAAAGTGACCTCCTACAAAGCAAGAGTGCAGCCCAGCATTCAGAATTTTAATTGTGAGTATTTTATTTACGTTATTTACTTAGTTTTTACTTCAGCTCAGTGTCAGAGTCTCTACTGTTGTTGTTTTCTTCTTCGTCTCTGTTCCAGTCTCTGCATGTTGGTTTCCACTCAGGAGGCAGAAACAGAAAAACGTGAGCAGAGAAGGAGGAAAATGAAGCGAAGAAGAAACACTTGAGTTGACTACGACTTGTTACGGTCAGTTTATAACGCTGAGGAGCTGGTTTTAGCCGATCTGGTTGGCAGATGTGCTCATTTGTTCTGGTCCTTCTAACACTGATCACTGCCCTCTCACAGGAGATCTCCAGATCGTCTTCTCTTGTGTTTTTCCCTCTTCTGTCCGTTCTTCAACATCTGCTGGTTTCCCTCTCATCCTCATGAATGTTGTTAAATTTCTTCAGCAGCCTCCACGTTCCAACGTCACTTCTAATATGAAACAAGTCAAATTTTCAACTGGTTTTGCAGTGATGGAGATCATAAAAAAATGCTGTTAATGCTGATTGGAGTTCTTCTCTCCACCTTGAGGTGAACTGATCTAAACCTAAGCTGTGAGGTCACTTCCTTTCTAACATCTAACCTCCATCTTGCCTCCAGCTAGTTCAGAATGCAGCAGCTCGGCTTCTTACATCAGATCAGCCTGAACCCGGCTCCACTGACTCCCTGTTCCTGTAAGGATTGATTTTCAGATTTTACTGATCACGTCTGGGACTGGCCTCAACCTCCATCGTGGAAATGCTGAAGCCACATGAGCCGGTTTGCAGCCGTAGATCCTCAGACGGAGCCCTTCTGGCTGTTCCAAGGCCGAGGCTTAAATCTAAAGGTGTCTGTGCTTTTGCCATCAGCTTTGGAAAGACCTGCCTGAGGAGACGAGGCTCACAGAAAATGTCGCATATTGTGCCTCATTTTAGCAGTTTGTGAAGGTCTGACGTGTCCCCACAGAGCGTCTGTCAATGTTTCCGCTCAAAATGCTGCAAAAATAGTTCATTCTGCACAACGCCTGGCCTTAGCCGTGCTCTAAACGGGATGCTTCAGTGTCTGTAGCTTTAATTGATGCTAAGCTGCTGCTGTTCACAGCCTGTTCAGGAAGAAGACGCTCTCTGTGGAGCAAAACAGTGACACAGGCATGAATAAGTCTGTGAGACTAAGACTTTCTAATGCATCTCACATGTAGATATCACTGGATTCACAGCACAGCGGTGGTGTTTAACTTGTGTGCATGGCGACTATCTCAGATGACTTCACCTTTATAAAAGCAGAATTTTATCAATGCAGAGCTGCAACCTGGGAAACAACCATGAAAGAACTGCTGGCTAACGTGTCATCTTAATGAGCCACATGCTGCATTTCACTCACTTTGTCACACTCATACAGAAGATTTAGGAAATGAGAACACATTTATCGGGAATCCGGCTGTATTAGAGTGCAGGAGTGAGGTGAACAGATCTAAACACCAGCTGAGTTTACTGGAGCACAATGGGCGACATTAAAACATATTAAGCCACCCAGTCCCTGTTTATTGGTTTCAGTTCCAACATCTCTGCGTCTCGCTCAGCTTTACAGTCTCCACCAAACTCTGACCTGTGGGCACACGATCAAAGCGAATATTATCCAAATTAGCCATATATCACACTCAGAATTGCCGTGGTGACACTGCCGTCAAAAACAAAGGTAATCCGCTGGACGTTCAGTTCCTCTGATGCTGGGGGTGCATGAAGACACTTTTGTTTACTCTTGCAGCCAACAGCTGGTGGCTGAGACGCTTAGCGGAGTAGAAGTAGATAAACCTGGCAGACTGGAAGATCTGGAAGCAGCAGGCAGTGATGGGGGCAGGGATACACAGAGTTAGAGCTGGATGACTGTTAGAAGAGTTCATTTGCAAAAACAGAAAACTCAGTCTTCACAAACCGTCAGAAAACCCGCTGGTCCATCGTCTACCTGAGACATAAATCAAACTGAAGTTATCTCTGTTGTTGTCATTTCTGCTGAGTCAAATCCACTCAGCTTCAGTTTGATTGATTTTATCTCAAGCAAAGAACAACAACAAAAAGTTTTCTGAAAATCTACAAAATGGAGTTTTCTGTTTTTGCAAATGAACTCTTCATTAGTTCATATTTAGCACTTTGGTTAAACACTCAGTGGTTTATAAAGCCAGCGAGCTGCCTTACTGGTATCTTCATATAGTTACAGCTTTTAGTTTATGCCTCCAAGTTTATAGAAACCACAAAACACAATAAGAGAACTTAAATAACTTATTAAAACCTGGTTTTATAGGCGTATTTTTATGTGATGCTGTTTTTTTTATTTGCTTATTTAATTTTGTTTGTATTTATTGTGCATGTTTGTATCTTCTAACTGTTTTTTAACCTTATCATAATTCTACCCTGATTGTTTTCTTGCTGTTGTTCTGCTCTACCTCCTGCTGCCTGCTGCCCTGCGGGTCTCCTGCTTTGTTTTGTGTCTCTAAGCATTTTGTAAACTCTTGTTTTCACGGTTGCCATGAAACTGAAGCTGCTCAAATTATTACCAATGCTCTTATGCTGTGTGGCGGTCTGCTTAGTTGTTCCATCACACTGCTATGAGGATAATAATCCGCTCTAACCGACCCAAAACAAACACTTTCATTTTTATGGCTGCCGAGGAAAACTGACGTCAAAGCTACAGCTGTAATTGCGCTGCGCATGCGCCGTGGGCACCGAGGCTGGACGCCGTCTGCTTTTGTTGGGACCATCGATGCTGCGACTTTCCGCGAGTCAGCTGCTCATTTCCAAAAGCCTTTCGGGGGATATTCGGACTCTTTGGCGGCTAGTAAACGCCGTCGACGTCCCTCCAGCTCGCAGTTCGCTCTCGCTTCGCCGCGCGGCCGCGACAGACGACGGCGGTCCGGAGCTGCTGAATATAAACAAAACGCAGCGAGCTGCTTGTTAAGGTGGCGCGACGGGAGGGCAGCAGCCACAACAACAACAACCAGGAGAAGAAGGAGAGGAGCAGCAGCACGGTTCGTTAAGTTAGCTAACTCCTCGTTAGCCGAACCGCCAGCAATGGAAGTTGTCGCACGACTTTGTTAGGAGTCAAACTCCGGAACGCGTCGAACATGAGAGAGGAGGGCAGCTTGGTGTCAGGAAGGCAGCCCATGGCAAGTGAGAGACGGGGTGAACATCCCTGCAGCTGCCGCTACTTGACGGAGGAGAGAGGACCCGCGAACCAGAAGGGCGACCTGAGGCCTCCCGGTCGTCTGTCCCGGTCTTAGTGGCATCGAATCGGACGTGCGGCTCAGGATGGAGACGGTGGGCAAATTCGAGTTCAGTCGGAAGGACCTGATAGGACATGGCGCATTTGCGGTCGTCTTCAAAGGCAGACACAGAGAGGTGAGTTTTAGTCCCTGAACACCACCAACACCTCCTCTTATATCCTCTGTTTTATCCACAGCCTGTTTAAACCCCGTCGTTCGTGTTGGAATCGACTTTTATTGTTTGTTGTCATGGTACGGCCTTAAGAGGCCTCGCTGCGCACGCAGGATGCGCCTTCAGACAGCAGATAATATATAAAAATACTCTCTGGATTCGTGCGACACGTTTCCCAAATGCACGGATTACGGCCGTGAGCCTGAGTGTGCGTGTTTTCTGTGGACAGACGGTGCAGATGTTGTGCGTAAATATAGGCCAGCAGACAGTTCCCATCAGAGAGCTGCTCACTGAGGAGGCCGTCCGTGTTGGAACAGCAGGAATGGAGGCACAGGAGCTATAAAGGCAGAGCAGGATGGTTTCCCCTCATCTGCTGAGACTAGCAGAGGAAGTGTAGGCCTCATAGCATCATCAGATGGATTTCATCCACATGAGGGGATACATGTGTCTGAGCAGATGTAGGCCGCCAAGGATGCTGCTGATATTATAGGAAATACATTAAAAACAACAAGCAGACTTCCTGGCTGGTTTCACTTTCATCAACTATCCACATTATTTGCCAGATATCTGCCTCCATCAGGTCACTGTGTGAAAACAACAGATGCTGACCTCACAGTGCTTTCTGATGCTGCACAGTTTTGCACTTTAAATATCAAGGTTAAGACCCCCCCAGCATTAGCCTACATTTTATGCAGTCTCTCTGAGCTTCACGGCAGTGGAGAGGAGGAAGAGACTTGCAGCAGAACCAGGCTCAGCGAGGGCCACCGTGTGTCTGGGCCGGTTGGGTTGAGGGCGAAGCGGGGGAGGAAACAAACAAGAGGACAGTAAACACCGGGGGAAGGGCCGGTGGAGCAATTAGCTGCAGATCAGAAACCTGCAGAGTCAAAGAGCTGCAGGAAAACACAGGGAGAGAGAGAGAGGGCAGATAAGACAAAGCTACAGGAGGGAGAAGTTAATAACACACAGCTGTGGCATGAAAGGAATGAAAAGCACGTATAAACACACACGTGATAAACACAATCCTTGCATTTTCTAGTAAACGTGGCAGGGTTTGTAATTTGGATGTTGCAGAAGCTGCTGCACGTTCAACACATCCTGCTGCTTGTGTGCAAACAGGCACATTGGACTTTATGTGCAGGTCTTGGAGGCAAGTAAGAAAAGTCAAAATACAACAAGATAAACTCCAAAACATGTAATAAATAATCTGAATGCTGCAGCTGAGGTGTGAAACCTCAACAAGGAACTAGTAATGCACTCATGTTGCAAAGACAGTAAACCTTTATTAACTTAGCCAACGCATTTGTTTCTTCCACCCCCCTCCAAAAAAAATAAAAATCCTTCTCCTGTTATCTTCTAGAAACACGACTGGGAGGTGGCGGTGAAATGCATAAACAAGAAGAACTTGGCCAAATCTCAGACACTACTGGGGAAGGAGATCAAAATACTGAAGGTGAGTCGTTCGGTTCAAATAAGGAACATGTAGTAATACCAGAGGAATCGAGAAGGGCGACAAGGATAAAAATACCGCTCTGTGTCCAGTGGTGAACCTCACAGTGACGACCGTTTCTCTAATCTGGTTCACTACCTTGACCTCGAGACCTCTGAGATCACTTGACAAGCGGTGTGGTAATACAACATTTCCTGTTGTGAGGAGAGGGAAATGTGAGCAGCGATTATCTCAGCGGCGCGATCATCTGACTGAACATGCAGTTGTCATGGGGAAAGTAGATGTTCTGAAGTTTCCTGCAGACTACAGGGAACCAAATCCACCCGGGCCTTTCTTTGAAGCTGTACATGTCGAAGAAATTCAGGATGTTCTGTCGTAATCGTGCTTTTTCCTCCTGCAGGAACTCAAGCATGAGAACATCGTTGCGTTGCTGGACTTCCAGGTACGACACACACCACAGTCATACATGTCATGTGCTTCTGTTTACATACGTGACCCTCCCACCTCTCATTGTCCCAGTTTTCCTGTCGGCCTCACAAAGCAGACGGATGTGTCTGTTCCACGTGACCTACTTTCCTCTCTCGTGTAGTTTTAGCCGTTTTGTTTTCCCACAGTGCCGCAGGAGGCTTTTCTGCATGTGTTTGTTCTAAACCTGCTCCCGTTTCTTTTCGCTGAGCCGTGTTTTGTTGCAAAGTGTCGGTAAATGCTCAGTCATCATTTCCCTTGTTTACATTCTGCACGCAGTCATCTGAGCTGCTCTCGTTGGCTTCCTCCACTCAGGCCTTCTGGGAAGCGTAGTGTCTTGCCTCGAGCATTTTCTCCTAATGTTCGTCCAACCTGTCGAGGCACAAATCAGCTGTTTAGGGCAGAGTCTGGGTGTTATGTCACCGATGGAAATGTCATAATTAACCTCTGAACTCCACGTCAGACTGCAAAGGTGCTGCACTGTCAGGTGACAAAATGAATCCCAGCGATGTGTTTGCCGGTAGCCTGGTTACCAGCCTGAAGCTGACGGCGGCGGCGGCAGCAACACCTGCTCGACGGCTCAGACATCACGTCCCTCACGTCCCCCACACAGACTCTTATCTGAACCCAACAGGTGCTCCTTTTGTCTTTCCTGGTCCATGATTAACACGGTGCCATCTGGTTAAAAAAAACATCTAATGTGCAGGAGATGCTAAAGAGGAAAATGTTGAGAAATGACGATAGTTCAGCGCCCGGCAAGCCAGCAGGGATGCTTTGCTTATGGAGCGACCTGTCGGGTTTTTTAAACTGCTAAAGAAAGGAAATGTAATATAAAGTTTAGAAAAACAAAACCTTATATTTGAGGATCATCATGTGCAGATAAAACAAGAAATGAAGACAGGACGAGTGCAGACGTTGTAGGTTACTTGGAGTTTTATTTTATTGATCTGACCTTTCATCCTCTACACTTATCTCTGTGTCGGTTACCATTGCTGCATACATTCATACGAGTTCCCAGCTGCTCAGACCTCGCTGTACTGGTGGCAAATATGGATTCAACCGCTCTCATTATCAGCAGCCCGAGAAAAAATCATTTGCAACAGGTTATCGCGTCTCGCTGCGCGCAGGACTGAGGAAAAACCTCCACTTTCTTTATCTCTGGCTCTGAGTCACAGCGGCGCTCTCTCTGGGCAGCGAGGATAATCCAAGCTGCGCTCTAAGATTACAGGTTTGTTGTGGCAGCGTCGATGTTTTCTGCGGGGGATCCACCTATCTAATTAGGTCAGAGGGAAACTGATACCGAACCAAACACTGGACACCAGCAAGAACTGTTTTTCACTTATCTCGTTATCCTCGGAGACGTAAAATGAGTTTACATGCCAGATAATTGTATTATTCTCTGGACTGCCAGTTTTAGAGGCAAACACGAGCTTTGCAGTCTCAGGAGTTGGCTCCGAAAGGATTTAGAGACGAAGCAAATTTCTGTTTGTTCACAGAATTTGAACAACAGCTAGTTAAGTCCTCCTTCATACAGAAAAAACAAGTCAGTTTCAGCACACACGCATCATACCTGCATGGTTTTATTAAAAAAGTCCATCACAAGGGCCTTTCTACAGGCATATTAATCATAAAAGACATTACAGCTCAAGATTGCATGATAAACTACAGTATGCGTGTCCCACTGAAGGTTCCCCCGAAGCTTATAAAGTCTCTGATCCTCTTGAAAACACCTCCTCAAGTCATAAAGTCATATCACAAGACGCAGCCCAAATCTACAGTACAAGTGCCTCATCGAGTCCCATAACCGATCACATTAAATACACATAAAGAAGCAAAAATATATCTGAAACATACATGGAAATATTTTGAACAAGGCACAACAATGGGCTCTGAGAAATTGATGTAATGCGTACAATTTTTAGCAATTTAGACCAAACAATCTTCACTGAATACACTCTGCTTTATAAACTTTATAAACCATTTCTATTTCTATATTTTTATCTTATTTTATTTCACCTTCATTTTACACCCTACCCTAATATTCTGTGCTGTCTTTTTGCTTCCCTTTTGTTGAACAGTCATGCTGCTGCAACACCTGAGTTTCCCTCTCTGGGATTAATAAAGTCAGTCTAAGTCTAAACTAGGACACAGTTTCTACCTGAAGACTAGTCGCACGCAGCTGTAGCATCCTTAAGCGCTGACTCAGCCTCGTGCAGGAAGGTCTGTTTGCAGCTCGTTATCATTTTGCTTCCAGAAAAAACAAATTTCAAAACATTAACGTGTAGATAACGGAGGTGAAAGGTGCTCGAAATAGGTCTGAATAATTGATCAAAGTCTTATGAAATTAGCAATATCCAAACCAAAGAAGTCCGATTATCTCTTGCGTATTATTCCACCGCTCCGTAAATCTGTAATTACACAAATTTTTTTAGCACGATTAACCTTCAGCGAGCCAGCAGACCTTTCATCTAGCAGAAGCGCGGCGCTGCAATGCCCTCGGGCAGCTTGTGAAGCCAGACTGTCGGCTCTCCGCCCGAAACTAACTGGCTGCTTGGTTGCTGTCCATCGTCTGTGCGAGCCAAAAGACAAATAACTTCAGAAGGCCTGACTCAGCCGAACTGTGGAAAACAGTGCGGCCTCTGACTGGTGGACCCGACGAGATACCGAGCTGAGGTCAGAGCGAGAGACGGCAGTCATCTGTTGCCATGTGATAAGGAGGGACTTTTTCAACTCGCCTCCGCTCTGTTGGGTTTTTTTCTTTCTCCCCCAAAATGTTTGAACTGTTGGCACAAGTTAGAGAACAAAAGTAGATGTTAGAGAAGACTGTGGAGCTCTAAACCTCCTGGATTTGGAGCATTAAAAAGGATCCACTGTGTGTCAGTTGTGTAAATAAACAGGTTTTTACTGTTTGTTGGTGTTAGTGTGGCAGGTTAGTGACTGAGTCCTTTTATTGTGTTGTTGTTGTTGTTGACAGCACAGCCAGCCTTCCTTCCCTTATTCTTCATAATTTCTCCAACAGATATAGTCTTTAATGTGCTTACTCGCCACCTTACTTGTAAAATAACTGATGTGCATGTGTTGGGATTCACAGAACCAATAGAGTCGTGACTCAATAATCCGACACTAGATGTAAAACCTTCTTCTATGTCGGATATCAAGGCTGTCGGATTGTCAAGACGAAGGTCCAGATACGAGGAGGGCTTGATGCTGGAAGGCTCATTAGTTGTTCATTATTGTTTATAGTTGTTATAATAACTATCATAACCGTCCACTTCCACCCCGGGGCAGCGCTCTGACGGGGTGGAAGTGTCCAGAACACACAGGCAGTACTTGGCTGCTGATGCTAGTTTAGTTAGCGCTCACACTTCTGTTTCCTCCACCGGTGGCGGCGGGGGAGTGGCAGATACGCTCCACCGTTACCATCCATGTTTACTTCCATAAACACTGAGCACGCTCGCTGCGTGTGACGTCGTCGTGTCCTCTTCTGCGCATGCGGGACACTTTTGGGTCGTATGAAGTTCACACAGCAGATCACATACAAGTCGCATTGAACTGGAAACGTGAAGGAAGTCACAAAGAAATCCTCATTGAGCATCAAGTCCTGCAGTGTGAACGTAGCCAATCTGTGGGATTGTTCAGTCAGATAATACGCCGTCATCCTGATTGGTGACATTAAATGTCATGTCGGAGTCAAAATCCAAGGCTGTCGCTATGTTAAGGCTGTTTTTATGGGTTCTGTTGGTTTTTCCTAAAAACCTGTCGGATAGCAGGTTTCGGATTGTTTAGGGTCGGATTATCGAGTCACGACTGTATTTCTAACTGGACCCACTCCTTCTGTGCAAAGCTTTGTGTTTCACTTTGTGCTCGTGTCTCTGTGTCGTCTTTTCCAAACTGTCGGCTCTAATTTTCCTGCAGCCCGTTAAGCTGTTGGATGTTCCTGCGATCCAAAGCACCGGTCCTAGTTTGCTCAAACATGTGCACGAGGACCACCTGTTCTTTCCTTTTGTCTGTCACTGACATGTGTTTGTTTACTCCCTCTCTTATCTCTCCTCTCATTAGGAAACTGCCAGCTCGGTGTACCTGGTAATGGAGGTAAGCTCGCAGCGATGTTTTGGCTTTGTTTGCTCAGCGCTGTATTGTCTCAACTCTGACGGGGCCGGGGCTATAATTAGCCGCGTCCTCGGGCATCCAGGGGCTAATCGGCTGGCAGCCAGTCACCAGATTTATTTTGCTATGGCTTCAAACTGTTTACCTGATAAAGAGGCAGACTTTCCTTTTTTGGGGGGTTTGTTTTTGTCTCAACGTGAGTGAGTGTTTCAGCTCTAAATCAATGTAGTTTCCCATTTTTACAAGCATATTATTTCCATGGGTTGCTCCCAGCCAGCAGCTCTGTTGATGCGTCTTGTAGAGATGCACGTAGCATCATTTGCAGGCCAAGCTCATGGCACATCTCCATCAGATTTTTCCGATAAGCTTCGTTTGCAAGCGCACATGGAGGCGACAAACCCGGCGACATAGAAGGACTTCCAGAGTCGTCAGATCTCAAACGCAGTGCACTGCTGGGAGCTGCATGGAGCTCTTGTTTACTCCTCTTCTGCCCCAAAGGTCACGCATCGTACCCGTCCAATAAAACCCCGATAGTTGTATTTTTTATGCTCGTCTCCTCAGAAAAGGTTGTCAGAGCCTCACCAGTCACACTCTCCGTCCTGTACTGGGTTCATTCATATTAATGCCGGCAGCGGGAACAAGGCTGGAAATCTGTAAACACATCACTCTCGGGCGATTCGCTCCTCTGATCTCTGCAGCTTTCGAGTTGCTTCAGAGACTGGGTGATGTCAAAGTCTTATACCTGTGCTTCCTGATGTTATTCCTTTTCATCTCTCTCTCTTCTCTCCTTTCTCTCCCCAGTACTGCAACGGTGGCGATCTTGCCGACTACTTACACTGTAAGTGCAACAACTCATCTACTGCTGCTTCATCAAACTGAATCGACGGCGAGATGTCGTCTTTGTCGCCTGGTGCAAAACCGCTCGATGGAAAACAGGCCGTGAACTCTCTGTTGTCCAAAAGCGAGATCGTAAATGCTTCTTGATGTTTGTCGAAGGAGAAGTTCACTCTTTATTATGTCCTGATATGAACCGTGAACAGCACCCGTATGTTTTAGTCTGGATCAGTGTCTAAAGTATTCCTATAAATACCTCGGGGTTTGTTTTTATAGAAACTATGAGCTTTAAGGAGGAAACAACAAGTGCTGGCAGAGTGAGCAGGAAGCGCGTTAGGACTGTAATGAATAAAATAGAACTGCGTCCTGACCTTGGGTTTGTCGAAGCCTTTCAACGTTTTCTAAACTTGGCGAGTCGATGGCGGGCTGAGTTTTGTTTAAGCGCGGCGCTCTTAACAGGATTGCCATTTAAACTGGAGCCGCCGGCTGCGTTCTTCCTGAATATGCTGCAAAATGAGCTAAATAACAAAGTGAGCTGACTGAATAAGGTCAGTTTACGATGTACTGGAAGAGACAAAAGCTCAAAAACTTCTCCTCGCAGCCCCCAGAATAATGATTTGTTCAAGGGAGCTGCTAGTTTAGATGGAATTATTATTTTTTAACCCAGTTCTCTTCCACCCCGACACCACCATTCAGGTCACGACTGTTTTGTTGGACTCCTCATGTGACCACAGGAAGCAGCTTTTATCTGGAGCCCTGAAGGCATTTTGGTGGAGATGTTAGTTTCTGAAGTTCTTGAGAAACTTTGAAGGAACTGAGAGTTGAAGCAGACCTGAGGTGGAATAAAATCACAGAGAAACCTCCCTGCTGGTTTCCTCAGTCTGGTCTCATCATAAATACAGGATGTGTGAAGTGTGGATCACATGTAGACCACCTCTGGCACACATGCTTTAGAGTCAACAGCGGTGTTGATTTGGGACGTGGCTATTTGCTGGCTGCAGATTCTAACTTTATCTACCAGATTTAAACAGATGCAGCATTCCTAATGACTTCAGCGGCTTTCCTGGCTCAAGTCAAGCCTGAAGCTGGTTTTAAAAAGGTGTCAGGGGTCAATTCAAGACGAGGGAGGGTCTATACCAGTAGAACCCGTAGAACCAAGCGGTAAAACCTCGAGGTGAACGAGTTCATCAGAGAAGAGACCGAGAGCAGCAGGAGGTGGTGATGTGAGAGGAAAGAGGACAAACCTGTTGGAGATACTTTTAGAGATAGAACGATCGGGTTTGACGAACTAAGACTCGTTAGAAGAACTGGTCTGACTTGCTTATGTGTCTCTACTACATCATTATAACATGTCTTTAATCAGGAGTGTGTACCCAGTGTACCAAAGTCAACTTAAACCAACCCTGACGTATTTGCGTCTTGTCTCTCTGCAGCCAAAGGCACGCTGAGCGAGGACACTATTCGGGTTTTCCTGCAGCAGATTGCAGGAGCTATGAGGGTCCTGCAGGCCAAAGGAATCATTCACCGGGACCTCAAACCCCAGAACATCCTGCTCTCCTACCCGCCGGGACGCAAGTCGCACTCCAACAACACCTGCATCAAGATCGGTGAGTTTCAGAAACAAGCAGGAGAACCTGTTACGTCAGGGGTGTCCAATCCTGGTCTTCGAGGGCCACAATCCTGCATGTTTTAGATGTTTCCCTCTTCCAACACGCCTGATTCAAATGATCAGGATCGTTATCAGGCTTCTGCAGAGCTTGATGATGAGCTGATCATTTGAATCAGGTGTGTTGGAAGAAGGAAACGTCTAAAACATGCAGGATTGTGGCCCTCGAGGACCAGGACTGGACACCCCTGTGTTATGTGTTCATTCAACATGTTTTAAAAGCTGCTCGGTTTAATATAGCGTCTGATAGTTAAAATAGGAGGCAAAGTATATAAAAATAGAGCAGCAACACTTCACACAGAGACCATGAGAGTTAATATGAAAGCCTTCACAGGAGCTAATTGAATCCCATGAAACCCAATATGGAAATTCATATAACATAATAAACCTTTTTTTTTTCTCAGACAGTTTTATTGCAACAGGACCTAATAATGATCTCTCCAAGGTAATTGATTACCCTCAGATTATGAGCCTAAACTTGTTGGAGGTAAATTGATTAAATTAGGATTTCACTCTCGGTCGTGTCCTTCTGAGGGAAGGAGGGAGAAACAAATACCAAGAAACTATTTCCAGACGCATAATGTTTTGTGATTAACTGACCTCAAACGTTGACACTGATGCAGCAGCAATAATAATAATAATAATAAGAGTGAAATGACCGAGAGAGCAAAGTGTGTGTTGTTCAGCTGTTTGGAAACTAATCCTTAAGCCTATTACTTCTTCTTTTTTTTCCTCTGGAGATTGATTGTCCAGCGGGAGTGAAGTCTGAGGACTGTGTCGCAGCAAACGTTATAATCCTGACGACTGTGGGGAGTGCACACACAGATTACATAGATGCGGGGATTACCGAGGGTGATTAGTCGACTCGTTTAATAGGCTGTTTGGATAACATTTTTATATTTACTGTAACGTTTAATGTAATTAGCAGAATCAGCCAAATATTATGACTGATTAATTTTTCTGGCTTAGCAGTATTTTCCGGTCGGGATGTTTTATGAAGTCGTAACTCCCCGAGCGGGATGATGCTCCGCCGATCACAGTGACCCGTTATTACAATGAATGGTTTTACTGGTTTTGGGATTAACCCCTCGTAGCCCGACGGACACGCTTTGCTTTCTCGTCTTCTCGGTTGAGTCTTTATCGCACACGAGGTGTCGTACCGCACGACTTGACCTTTCCAACGACGCTGCTTCTCTGTGTGATGAAATGTCAGCGAGATGAATTATTTTGGATTCATGTCAGATTTAATTATAGTTACAACCCGTGCATCCTCCTGCACAGACGTGTGAATCAGTCGTAGAAATGTTAATACCAGATATGTTGATGTCATATTTGCATAGATGTTCACATATCTGTGCAGCGCTATGCTAATATTTAGACATTTGACCGGTTTGCTACGTCTGCAATTAGGCTGCAATCGACGTTTGTTTCTGTTGTGCACTAACGTGGTTCTGATATTGGCAGATTTATTACAATCTCCCCGACAGAGATGCATGTAAAAACCTATCAGTGGCATAATAGGAAATGGTTTTCCTTTGATAAATGCTATTTATAAAAGGATTCAAGGTCTTTAATTGGTCACAAACACAGTTATACACGGTGTAACACGCAGTGAAATGAGTTGTGTACCTGTTCCACACTGAAACAACAATAAGATAAATAAGAATAAAACACACAAGAAATAAACAAATGTATATGAATGTATACATATATAGATAGAGAGAGAGGGAGAGAGAGAGAGATAGAAATAGCAGAAATAAATAAATAAAATTTCCAAACAGTGCAAAAAGAGAATAAAACAAATAAAGACAATAATAATCAGATTATGTACATGTGTAAGTGTTATCATATCAAATTAAGTTGGATCTGGAAAGTCCTAGACTGTCCTGAAAATTAATTACATCATGTGTGGTTGACTCTCATAATGACCAAGAGTTTAAAAGTAAAACTAAATTAATGATGTTTCCCTGAAAACAGCCTCGAGCTCATCGGGTTAAACACACCGACCAGCTGCATCCAGTGAAACATGACTTCTTCAGAGCACAACGGTTTTTTTATTTCACCGTCTTCCGTGATTGTCTTGGTGTAATACGGCTGCATTCACTTATTACAAATATTTACCTGTCCTCTCCTTTTCTCCTTTGTCCTCCCCATCCTTCCTTCCTTCCTTCCTTCCTCCCTTCGTCCCACCACAGCGGACTTTGGCTTCGCCCGGTACCTTCAGAACAACATGATGGCGGCGACGCTCTGCGGGTCTCCTATGTACATGGTAAACACATAGAAACTAGAGGAAGTAACGGGCAGCGAAGGCTCTCAGTCATGCAGGTGGTGGTTTATCTAAGAGCTGACACGAAGGAGCCTTTTGGTAGAGAGGTGAAACAAAGTCAGGTTGCCTTCTTTTAGCACTTAAATATAATTTCCATAACACTCAAGTAGTTCAGCCGGTGGTTAAACCCAAACAGATTCATATTTGGTCTGTTTTTTTTAACTAACACTAAAGGTTATCAGAGTCTGTTAGAGGCAGAAAAAGTTTTTCCATTCTTAGTTTAAACATAAGAACGTGTAGTCATTTCTTAGAAATCGCTTCTGTTGTGATTCTTTATGTACGACAGCAGAGCTTAACATTTTGTTTGCATTGCCTGAAATCCTTTAATAGTCTTTTGATGCTGTTTTGTCCGATCCGTCCACATCTCAGGGAAACTTTAAACCTCCCACGACATCCTAAAAGCCCCGTGAAGCCCTGCGACAGCCTCAGTCGCTTCACTAAAGCTCTTTTTTTTTTTACTTTTGTTTTTATTTTCACTCATGTACACGATTGTTTTTGTCTCTCTTATTGCATCCCAACACCACAAATATACAAATTACTTTTTTAAAACAACAAATTCCTCGTCTTTTCTTTTCGTTTTTTCTTTGCAATCTCAAAAGCAGCCCAGCATGAGTAATAATGTGAACATTAATCGTCCTTCAAAGAGTTTCCAAGTAATGTTGCACTGAAAATTATCTCTTTTCTTTTTCCTTTCCAGGCTCCTGAAGTAATCATGTCCCAGAACTACGACGCCAAGGCCGACCTGTGGAGTATAGGAACCATCGTGTTTCAGTGCCTGACTGGGAAAGCTCCTTTTCAGGTAAAGACTCTGCATCAACCTGAACTTCAGCTCCGTCCTTATGTTACATATGAAGGCGTCTGATAATCAACTTTCCTGTTTTCAGACAAGAAACTGAGAAGAAAACTCACTGTGCAGAGGTTTAGGCAGTAAAAGTAAAGTGACGCTTTAGTTTTTATGTGAACTATTTACGAGCAGCAGTAAACAGAAAAAAAAAAAACTAATAAAATCTGTATTTTGGTGTGACCGCCCCTCACTTTTAAAGCAGCAGTTCTCCTCAGTACACTTGCTCACACTAGTTCAGGGTATTAGTCAGCTGGGTTGGAGAAGTCGCCACAGGAGGCCACACCACCAGTTGTTTTTGTGGTTACTAAGGGGTTGCTGTTTAGGACTCTGTCTGGGGTCATTGTGCTGCTGCAGAATAAAGTTGTGATGCTATTGTGTGTGATGGACAAACATCTACAACATTCACGCAGTACCGTAAACATTTTGCAAGTTTTGCTCTGGATTTCTTTCCAGCAAGTTTATCAGAAAAGGGCCTTTTGGTTTGTCATTGCGCTCCAAAAAGCTGTGAGCGTCTACGGGCTGCCTGAACGCCTCGTAACAGCAGAACAGAGCAGCAGGGACGAAATAACAAGAACGCCAGCTTGGCAGTACAGTACGCTCCGTTCTTTGTGTCTGGCGGCTACAGCGCTGAACTGTTTGTCTCTCGTAGCTCGTCGTGCTTTCGTCAAACCAAACTGCACCCTCGTGTGTCAATATGTTTGCGTGTTTGTCAGCCGTTGTGTTCACTTTGCCTTTTTCCTGCTTAGTAAACTATAAAGTCGCCGTGTGTGGGTTCCTTAAGATAATAAAACTGAAGCAAATAGTTTAATGTGGTTGAAGTAATTAAATAAAGTATGTCGAACCAAACCTGAACTGGTTCGGCAGCTTTTTTGAAAATTGCAGCTTCATTATTTGCTCAGTGGTTAGCACCGTCGCCTCGCAGCTAGAAGGTCGCTGGTTTGCGTCCCAGTGAGGGATCTTTCTGCGTGGAGTTTGCATGGGTTCTCAGGCTTCCTCCAGAATCATGCTGAGGTTAATTGGTGATTGTAAATTGTCCGTAGGTGTGACTGTGAGTGTGCTTGGTTGTCTGTCTCTAAGTGTAGCCCTGTGATAGACTGGTTACCTGTCCAGGTGAACCTGAGTCAGCTGGGATAGACTCCAGCCCCCTAGTGAGGATTAAGCAGTGTGTAGATGATGGACGGATGGTTTGCTCCATTTAAAAATGGCAAAATGTGCTGTTTTGTTGGTGCACAAGTGTGTCATTAACAGCTCAGTGTGTGCAGATTCAGATGTTGTTTTGGGTGATGTGTATCCGTGTACATTTACGTTTCCCACCATTTCTGTGACTTCCATCTTCATGTGCAGGCCAGCAGTCCCCAGGACCTCCGGCTGTTCTATGAAAAAAACAAGAACCTCAGCCCCAAGTAAGGAAGGCTTCTTACTGAGATGTAACGTGTTGTTTTTCTTTTGTTTGTTGTTTTTGTTATGATAGTAAAAGACCGAAAAGCTTTTCTTCTTCTTCTTCTGTTGGAATAAGAATCCTTCAGAAAAGCCCCACTGTGTTTTAAAATACATTTGTGCTGCTACAGTGCAGATTTGATGAGATGCAAATCAGTGCAGTATGCAAATCCTGCAACAGCACTTCATGTACGGCAGGGCTGGAGTGAGGAACGTCTGCGTTGGTTCTTCATGGCTGTCTAATGAAAGCCCTGTTTTTATTAATTCTAGCAACTAATTATGAAAAGTATATTTCAGGTCTTCAGAGGTTATAATTAATGTGATTATTGATAAATTAAACAGGGAATGTTAACATTAAAGGTAAACCAGATGTAGCTACGAGCGTTGCTGTTTCTCCGTTGACCTTTTAATGTACTTCTTTTTTTTAAATTCCCACACACTGACTGTTGTTTGTTTGCAGCATCCCCAGAGAGACTTCCAGCCATCTGAGGCAGCTGCTGCTGGGTCTGCTGCAGCGCAACCACAAGGACCGGATGGACTTCGGTCAGTAGAGGCATCAGAGTAACGACCTGGACTGATGATTTCAATGTTTCTGTTGCCTGATAGCGTTTTGTTAATAATTACTGAGTCACGTTAGCCGCGCAGCAGATGTACCTGTGAATGCAGCGTTTGGAATAAGATTAATTAATAAGACTCTGTGTACAGCAACCAAACGGATTCTGGATCTCTGTTCCGTCTTATTAACCGTGTCTCCTCCTGTGTTGTTGATAGATGAGTTTTTTTGCCATCCTTTCCTGGAGGCGAGCTCATCCATGAAAAAGAGTAAGTAAGAAGAAGAAGCAATCCACCGTTGAATATGTGCTAGCTTCATTGTGCACTTAGAAGTGTTTGCATGGCAGGATTAGATGCCGTCGACACATCAGACTTAAGACATTAAAACTCCTGCTGTGGACTTTCCTTTTCTTTCTGCTAACTTTCACCGTCTCTCACCTGAACTCTTCACGAGTTGTCTAACAGCTGTGTTGCGTTGCGTTACAGCGACTCCTGCTGTGACCATGACCTGTTTGCCCAGCTCTGCGTCAGCCAGCTCCTGTAGCAGCTCCTCCACCTCCCACCTCGCCTCGCCACCGGTTGGTCTTTATTATTTCTGCATTATTTACACGTCTGTCTTGATCTGTACCTGATTTATAAACCTTTTTTTTATGTGCAATCATAGACAAGTCAGCATATATTTGGCCTTTCCCCCCAACTTGCTTGTAATTTTAACTTCTTTTTTTTGTTTGTTTATCTGCTACCTCCTGTCTTTGCAGCAGTCTCTTGCTGAGACTCAGCATTTGCGTGCCAAAGCTCTGGCCTCCCCGACCCAGGAGGCCGCCGGGTTCCTCCTCAAGGACTCGTCCGGAGGCGGCGGCAGCAGCAAGAACTCCTCCTCCTGTGACACGGATGACTTTGTCATGGTGCCTGCTCACTTCACCAGTAAGGAAACCCACCTAAATGTACACGTCCTCACCTCGCCTCCAGTTCTACAGACTTTTGCAGTGTTTGGAGTCATCTTGCTAACTTCCATCTCCAGCGTGTCCTGAGCTGGAGCTCTGCTGTGTCTTAATGTTTATTATTTATATCTACCAGTTGGGAAGTGCCCTGGTTGCTCCTCTTTTGATTGTGGCGTTCCTGTCTTTGCAGCGGGCGAGCTGACATGCGAGAGCAAAGTGCTGCAGGACAGCCTGATGAACAGCGGGTGAGAAGCAACAACGAGTCATTCATCAGCTGCCAGCACCTGTGTTATGCTAATTAAATGCGGTTGTCTGACAGTGTTTGAGAATGCGGCTAATTAAGGCTGATAAATGATACCAGCAGTCGCGTTTACATTGAAAGTGAGAATGTACAGCCTGTGAGACGGCACGGTGTTAAAGTTGTTAAATGAGTCTTTTCTCCGCTTTGATCAGCTCTCTTCTGGCTTCTGCCGGTCTGTGCAGCCAAGCCAAGACGCCACCGCAGTCGCCGACCTACAGCGGATCCCCGAGTCCTGTCAGGTACCGGAGCTGCATGTTTGCTTGTGGTGGTTCTGTTGAGCTCAGATGACAAAACAAGAAGGTGGAGCAGATGGAAGTCTTTTAGTAGTTTAGTGCATTCACTAGTTTGGTGCTCAGCTAAGTCTGATTATGTTTTGGTCCTTTTGTTACGAGCACATGTTTAATTTTATCTGTATTGAGATATCCTGTCATGGATTTTAGGTCTGAAGTTTTTATTTTTAAGAATGGAGTAAGTTTAATTGGTTAACTGACATGCCGTCGTGTTAATTTTTAATACTAACGTTAATAATCATCCGAGTGTTGTGCAGCTCGGCAGCAGCGTTGCCAGTAACACAGCGTCGCTACACAAACGCTAACCGCCGACACTTCCGTTGGCACTCTGTGTTCTTCTCGCTGCCGCTGACAGGCCCGCCGAGTTCTCGGGAAGCCACTATGGTGGTAACTATGGAAACCACGGTCAGTCATTGCCTATCCCAGTCCCCTCTCAGGTCCAGAACTACCAGCGCATGGAGCAGAACCTCCATTCTACCAAACAGGATGGCTCGCCACGGTCTGTATCCGCAGTTAGGCCAAGACGTGCACATTTATACGCTCGCTGTTGCCAGCGAGTATTTGTCAGGGAATTGTCGATTAAAAACTGCGGTGACTCATGAACTTTGTGTTGACAGGCTGTCGACGCCGGTGCGCCGTTGCAGCAGTGGAAGCTTGCTGGGCTTTGCCAGGACCGGACCCTCACCGCCGTACGGGCAGGGAGCGGTCACCGCCACCCGCAGGCTCTCCCTGGGAGGTGCCAGACCTTTCCAGCTCTCTCCACAAGGTAGCTCGGAGGCTAGCTGTCCCTTTGTAAACCACTTTGACAGCTTTTCCTGTGGTGTGTGTCTAGAATGCAAATGTGGACGTTGCAGCACGCTTGATGAACGTTTGCAATCTACTCGGCTATTAGCTTCATCATAACGCTGCTGTGGTGAAGTTTTAGTGTTGAAGCTACGGCTAATGGATCTGCATGTCGGTCCCCAAAGCTTTAAAAATGACTCGTCAACAAATCGGCCAAAGAGGTGTTTGTCAATTTCAGACATTGAAAGGAAGAAAAGATTAAACTCTTTGATATTATAAAAAAAAATCAACAATCTGAGAGAAGCCAGAAAAGGCGCACTTTGCTTTGTCGCTCAGATTTGTAATCACGTCGTGCACATTGATCTCGGGACCCCTCGGGGCATCCTGACTTCCAGAACGGGAGCCGTTTGATTCGCTGATTAAAAGACTGACTGATTGCACTGATTAATCCTTAACATCATCCACGAACCAGAAGCCCCGTGTGATGACTAACCGCTCTTTCTGTGTTTTTGAATTGGATATCTTTGGGGAGTCGGGTAAACAAAACGGGCAATTTCCAGACATAATTTGGGGCTCGAGTAACTTGTGTTGAGAAGTTTTTTTTTTTTATAGGCCAGATTAATCAGAAATTGATCAAACAAAGCAATCGCATATGAGGTATTTACTAACTGCACCCCTAAAGAGGAGACTGACTAATGATGTTTCCTGAAAACTGCAGACAGAAAAAAAAAACCAAGGTTGTGGTTAGAATTTGCAAAGCGTTCCCTCGAGCCAACGCGGTCGGTAGTTGTAAAAGTTATCGATTGAGAAAATGCACCAACCACCCACATGCTCTCGTCTCGCTACCAGTTGCTCTCGTCTCATCTGTGCCTCGTGTTTGCTCACTCTGTCTGGACACGTGCACCAGCAGGACGCTCAAGCAGGACTCGTCTGTCTGTAGCTTCGTTGTTTTCCGTCCTGTGTGACGCTTCGTTTGACAAAAACCACCTGCTGCCTAAAAGCAGACACATTCTGACCCTCTGACCCACTTTATTCTGCAGCTCCGCAGCACGCCGAGCCCAGGCCCGTCTCTCAGCAGCAGCAGCCGCAGGCGACGGGACTCGGCACGCGGCTCCACAGCGCCCCCTGTCTGCTGGAGTGCGCCAGTGGCGGCGGCAGGCAGAAAATCAGGAAGCAGCACTCCGACCCGGTAGTCGCCCCCTCAGCAGGACTGATGGCCGTCCGCCCTCTTCACTCTTCCCCCAGACTGAGCGAGCTGATGCAGCGTAGTCCGCTTCCCACCATCCTCGGTTCCCCCTCCAGGGTGAGTCAGCGGTCTGTGTTCTGTGTGTGAGACGGAGACGGAGTGTGTGAATAATTTCACACAGAATAATAAAAGCATCTCCCAACTAGCAGCTTTAACTAACCTCGACTATCGCTCTCCTCTCTCCTCAGACCATCCCTCCGTTTGAATTCCCCAAACCCCCCAGCTCTCCGAACCTCATGACCTTCCTGACACAGAAGGGTTTGGTCATCGGCTCCCCCTGCAGAACTGCCCCGGGAGAGCTCAGAGACCTGGGGCAGCAAGCACCGGTCACCCATCCTGCCCACTGCATCCACAGACTGAACGATGATACCAAGGGCTTCGGAAGGTCAGATTACTGTTTGTTTTTTTGTTGTGTTTACGTCACTGTTGTGTATCCGGGGAGGATTCTCTCTCTCTGTGGATGCAGGTCAGACAGGAGGCCTCGTGTGGTCGCAAACAGGAAACTTTTCGATTTTGAAATGCTTTGTGCAACGCTGGGTTTGAGAAGAATTACCAAAATGACGCAACGTAGCCGAAACTGTAGTGAAAGAAAGCATCGTTGAATTTTTAACTTTTCAACCTCGAACTGCTCGTCAGTGATTTTTCATTCTGTCAGAAAAACATAGAAAACAGAGTCAAATATATTTATTGTCCTTGCAATTTGAAGCGAAGTCGGTCCCCAAAAAATAACAAAAAACTGTGATTATTTATCAAAATGACTTTATTCTGCGTTATTAAGAGAATAAACTGCAGGACTTTTATTTTCCAGATAAAACTGAGACAAAAAACCAGAAACTCAGGGTTCAGAGAGTTCATGTTTGTCTTTTTAATTCATTCGACCTTTAGATTATAACGTACGGTTTATTGTATATGAAGGTATTATTGCAATAAATTATTACAATATAGAATCCATAACATCCTCTTTTCTTCCTCTTTATGGAGAGAAAAGGTCAAGATGGGAGTTATGGACCTGGATGGGATTATTCAATGTAGCTCGCAGGGGAAAAGCCAAACAAACAAATTCATTAAATGGGCAGAAATATATATTAAAGGAGGATTTGTGCTCTCTGTCTCTGCAGGTCTCAGAGTGCCGGTCGCCTCTCCGACATGCTGCTGATGGCTGCGTTCGGACCGGGTCGACCTGTGAGTGACCGGGGCAGCACGGAGAACCTGACCTCGGATAAAGCCATAGACATAACAGGTACGCAGATCAACAAAGAGGATGTGTGGCTTCAGGATTAAATGCAAATGAAAGAATTCTCCCCAGCTGCTGCAACAACAAACCGCAGCTTCGTTATGCCACTAATCAGCGACTAATTATGAAGTAATGCTCAACGTTTTCAGGAGGAGAGCCGTAGTGTTTGTTGTCCTTTGCTGTCATGATTGATTCTTTTAATTCTGTAGCGTTTTACAGTATTTCTTGGTTTTCATAAATGTAAAAACTTCTGTCTCCTAGGGCCCCCTAGTGGTGGGGGAGGATTTGCACCCGGCTCCAGCAGCCCAGCACAGGTGGTGTTCACTGTGGGCTCGCCACCCAGCGGCAACACCCCACCTCATACCTCCAGACAGAGGAAATACTCAGGTAGCGCATAAAGATCCAGACACAGCTTCACACAGCTCATTAGTATCTCTGATCATAGCATCATTACGAATCATTATTAATGGGCAAAGATTTAAACGAAGCCTATTGATGTTTTAACACATGGTTGTCTAACTGGTCCGCTGTTTCTGAGCCATGAATGCCAGCAACAAGTCGTCTACTGTCATCTATTTATCTCTTTGCTGTTGGAAATTCATGACATTTGATGACACGTTCATACCTCGCCGTCTCTTTTTCTTTTCTCCGACTTGCTCAGGCTCGTTCACTTCAGTCAGTCCCGCGGGCTCCTTCACCAGCCGCTACCCCCAGACAGGCACCTATCTGGATGGCTTTGAGGCTCCCTCCAGCCCTCGTTACAGTTTCACTGATCCTATCACAGCCAACATGGGCGGTCCTGTAACCTTTGAGGCTCCCGAGCTGCCTGAGGAGACGCTGATGGAGGTGAGCGGCGGGCTGCTGCTTCTTCTTCGCTGGAATGCGGCGAGGCGGGAGTCGTCCTTTTAGATCTCGCGCGCACAGCAGCTCCTCTGTTGTGTGCATCAGTCAGGCGCTCAGCGTAGCATAATCTGAAAATGAGGAATATTTAGCGCGCCTCCAGAGACTGTTGACTGAGAGTGCAGCGTTGTTGAAGCATCTTTAGCTCAAGGCAGGGCGGCGAAATAGCTCAAGGCGGAATCCGAGAGTGGAATAATGAAACGCACCCAATGACCTTTCGCCTTTAAGTATGTGGTTTTTATTCACCGATGCAGACTGAATGCAAACTGACGATCTTGTGTTTAATATTCTTTCCCGTCTGTGTCGGAGCGCAGCAGGAGCACACCGACACCGTGCAGAGCCTGCGCTTCACGTTGGATTTCGCCCGCTGTCTGATGGAGGTGGCCGGCGCTCGCGGCGCCGTGGTGGCGGGAGAGCAGGTGGACGTCTCTCACGCATCCCTCCTCCAGCAGCAGAGCCTGGTGGCGGATCAGATAAGCTCGCTGAGCCGAGAGTGGAGGTGAGGCTAAAGCGACTGGAGCTGTGATGGCGGCGATACCGTTTATCTAGTCGGGATGGAAACTCACTTTAAGGCGGATCTTCTGGACTATCTGCACTGGTTGTTGATGATAAAAAGAAATACTGGGAATTAGTGGAGTTTGCTCAGGAGTGTTGGACAAAATATGTTCAAGAAAAAAAAACACAGGGCAAACAAAAACACTGTGACATTAAAGCTTGTAGCCGGTTGGAGTGAAGATGTCTGTTAGATCTTGTGTCGGCTGCTTTAATGCAGAAGTGGCTTCTTTTGGTATAAACTTCAACCAGGAGTTAATTCTGAAATAATAAAGAAATTAGGAATATTTAGGAGAGTGTTGACTGTAATTAAAATGGAAAAATATATCACAGAGTTGTTGAAGCTCAAGACTGTGTAGCCTGAGGGGGAACTAGAAGTAGAAGATGAGATCTGGGACGTTGTTAACAGGGAACACAAAGTGAAGTTTGATAATAGGAAGCTTTTTTAAATTTATTTATTTATTTTTAATGGAAAGACTTTAGCCTCAGTTTTGAACCATTTTTGAATTTAAAAACGCAAAATTCATGGGACCAGATGCTGGGTTTGGAGACGAGCACGCAAAATAAAAAACTGCAGACGTTTAAACAGTATTTATTTTTAAATACACAAGCAATGCAAAGCAAATGAGGACAAATTTATCATTTTTTATTGACAAAGATGGAAACGGATTTGACTTTGTTGTGCCATAAGTGCAAAGTATTGATATACTGTACAGGAATCTGACACCTCTGGGTTTAGATGGATGGATAGATGGATGGATGGATGGATAGATAGATAGACTTGCTGCTTCAGAATGACTGTACCAGGTGTGCAGTCTTTTATTTGATGGACTACTATGGTGTAAGATGACGTGTTTACTCCATGGGGAGAAGATGCAAAATCCATTGAACTCTATAATGTGTGCTCGTGAATGCTCAGAATATTTGTAACTGTGGACGTTAATGGTCAGAAATCTGGTTGGATGAAGAAGACGATCCAGTTGCATTCAGAGTTTCTGGAGACTGCTGGCGACCGTTCTGATGTTTCTTCATCACACTCCTGCCATGCACATTCATCCTGTTTGTGTTTCAAGCCTCATCTGTCAACATATAATTGGGTTTCATGTGCTCTCTGTGTGTAATCGTCTCCTCAGTCATGCAGAGCAGCTGGTTCTCTACCTGAAGACTGCAGAGCTCTTGTCCACTGCCTTACATACAGCCATGGAGCGAGTGAAACAGGGCAAACTCTACCCGTCTGCTACGGTCAAACAAGGTACGAGCTGTTCTACTAGCTGCTTCATTAATCAAGATTTAAACCAGAACTCACAATAATAATAATCAAATACTTTTCTGTCCACACACAGTGGTGAAGAGGCTGAATGAGCTGTACAAGGCCAGCGTGGCGTCCTGTCGCTCACTCAGCACCCGTCTGGAGCACTTCTTCACCAGGAAGCACCGTCTGATGGACCAGATCACCTCCATCACGGCTGAGCGGCTGCTCTTCAGCCACACTGTGCAGATGGTAAATCAGAAGGGAAATAGGGGCAAAACTGCAGGAGGCAGTTCAGCAGGGGAGTGATGTAGATGTATGTGGGCATTTGGTCAATAATACAGATATTCTGCTTTACTGAATGTTAGCATGATTAGCATCTAACATGGACTTAGAAGCACTTCATACGTGTAGCTGAGTCTGTACTGTGTAGATGCACAGTGAGGGTTGAGTAACAAACGCACAAAGAACCTTATATTTCAATCAACATCAAACCTAACTTAAGCATCCCGGTGCCGTCTCAGGTTCAGACTGCTGCGTTGGACGAGATGTTCCACCAGGGGGAGGCGTCGATCCTGCGCTACCACAAGGCTCTGCTGCTGATGGAGGGCCTGTCTCTGCTGCTCACTGAACAGGACGACATCCTCAGTGTTAGCAAATGTAAGAGTCTGTCAGCTCAGTGCATACAGACGGAGAAGCTAAAGATCTCATTCTTATTGTGTTTTAGATTTGCTTTGAATGTTCAGTTGGATTTAAAACGTCTGTAGTGTGATGCTGAGGTGAATATGAAAGCCTGGATAGCGAAGACAAACCGGCTGCATGTCTTCGCTCAACAACAAGCCTTAACACAGCGTGGCTATTAATTGCTCTGCTGAATCACCCACTGCCTTCTTTCTCTTTCACTTTGTGTCTGCAGGTAAGGAGTGCATCGAGCGACGCCTCACAGCGCTGCAGTCCGGCCTCTGCGTTTGACAGTCCTGCGCCCTTCCTCGGCGTGCGGACACGATGTCAGTCATTTGCACCCTGCGCATTAACTAACGAACCAAACCTGCGTCTCATGGTTTTCACTTTAGAAATGCTTTAGGTTTCACTGAACCTCCAGGGCTGTGCTCTGAAAGTATTTCATCCGTTTTGGACAGCGAACCCCCTCCCCCCCCGACACTAAACCGGGACCGGTGTTGGACACGGCGAGGACTGAAAATGCCAAGAAGATTCTCCTCGTGGAGCAATCGTTGCCAAGTAGTCACATCCCCGCATAGTGTGCTTACCTACACATGAACTCATAGCTTTTTCAGATCAACACATCCACGCTATGACTTTGCAACTCTACGGACAGAACATTTTATCTTTTACCAAGATCTCGAGCTGGAGGGAATCTGCTGCACGAGGACACGTGGCTGGGAATGGCCGTTTATCATCATGTCCGTCTTACGCGCCCTTCGTTGCTCTCCTGGTTTGTTTTTTCTCTCCTGGGTTTGGTTGTTACTCGCTTGGACGTCGGCGACCGGACGTGCGTATAAGCGCGATTACGCAACTGTTGCCAAATTGACCTTTAAAAAAAAAAAAAAAACGTGGTTCTGTTTTCGTGTGATGTTTTAATTTTTTTTTAGATTTACTGTACGTTACTATACTGGTTTAGCAAAAATGAAACCCTGTTCGACACTTTACTGATTCTATACTTGCTTAATATCAAAGTCCTTTAATCGGCACCAGAAGGGTTGCTTTGGTCAGATTGGTCTGCTGGTGCTGAAGCAGCAGCAGCAGCAGGCGGACAATGGGTCCAGACAGCGCTCATTACCCCACTGCTACGTTTCATACATGTTTAGATCCACGTGGGGCTGAACGTTAGCTCGTCTCGTCACAATCATGTTAAACGATGCTGCGCTGTGCTCTTCTTCAGGTAAACAGAAGCTTACGTGCTGCTGTTGCTGGTCGTTTTCTTCACAACATTCCACGTTCTGTCTTTTTTTGTGTTTTTATCCCGTTGGTGTTTAGCAAGTATAATCACATCTGAATGTAGGGCTGTCACAAGAGAAGCAGCGTTAGACTGAATGTTAGACGAGTAACATTCGGGCTGATCTTAAGGCTAAAGTCTGAATGTTTGTTTTTTTTTTGCACTGTTGAAGTACTGTATAGACAGAGTGGAACATGCTGAACATGTTTTTTGTAGATACTTAAGACAGATTTGCTTATTTAGAAGACCTTTAGTGCAGTTTTAGTTGTTTTACAGTTACTGTTGAATGGAAATGTGTGACAACGAGATGGTATAAGCTATGAAACTTAAGAAAGAGTTCTATGAGAAGAGAAAGAAAGCGTTTCTTTACACTGAAAAAAAAAACAAAAGAGAAAAAAGATTTACATTGACTTGTTTTGTGCTTTATTTCGGAGTAGTCGGTGGGTGACGATTGTGTTTGGTTTTTTTGACATTTGGAGTGCTGGTTGAAAAAAAAAAAAACGTGTATTTTACCTGAAATATTAGTGTGTTGTTGATGTTGACCTTCGCCATGCGACCCAGCCAGATCTCCTCCAAAGTGTGGGCCAATCGGAAAATGACTAATCTACAGATAGGAGTTTGTGTGCATGCATGCATGTGTGAAGTGTCGTGTGAGCTATTTAACGAGATGTGTTCGGTGCAGAAGCTGTAGCAAGATTCTTTGATCGACTCCGTAGACGTGGTGGACTTTAGGAGGGAAGCCACTTCTGTTTATATACACTGAAAACTAAGGGCTCCTCTGGCGTCTCCCCTTTTCCAGGTTGTTTTTCTCTAAGGTGTTACTTCCTCGAGTTTAATTAAGATGCCGATTAAGTGCGTATTTTGTGACGTGTGGGACGGTAGCGCCGTCAGCAGGACAGACAGGAGGAAATCTGAATTTACATGGTGTGCATTTGCTTTGTTGCCTTTTTGTCTTTTTGTCGGACAACTTTAGTTAAATTTTAGTCCACCGAGAGTGTTTGTTTGAGCGTACATTCCTGACATCAGTTCATCCACATGCTGCTCTGTTCAGCTCGTATGGTGACGCCTTCAAAGAAACAGGTAGCAGAACGTTTCTTTCCTTTCTAAAAACAAAACCTGATGCATGTGTCACTTTTCCGTTTCATACAATCATTGCTGTCGGCCATCCCGACGGCGGGAGTCAACATGAAGACAATTTGAGCAAAAGTTAGATGATAGCAGACTGGTGTAGAGCCCTCTGACCAGCAGGTGTTTAAGGTTTGAAGTATCACACGATGATAGAAGATGAAGTGTAAGCATGCTAACGATTGGGCTGTGTGCACTCCAGCAGTAGATCTGTCACTGATTTGGATTTTTGTTTTTTGTATGTTTGAGGAAAAACATACCAGAATGTTTTCATTTTGTGTTTCCATTTGACTACATCTGTGTAAGCCTACCTGTAAATATTGTAAATTAAGTTATTGTTGTTATTGTATGTATTCACACACACACACGCCACAGTGCAGGCATGGAGAGGACAGCCCCACACCAGACCAGACCACCTACACATTTCCAAAGACTAGGCCTTCTGCTTGATCTTCCATATTGTCTCTTTATCGTTGCAAAAGCGTTTTAATGTCGTCATATCCACAGCAGACACACTATCTCCGTGTCCCCGTGTGTGATGTAACCTTTACTGTTTTACTGTTTGGGAGCTGCATCATGAATAAAGTGGAAGGAAAGGTCACGATGTTGTAAGGGTTTAGTTTGTTTTTTGTACTTCAACTAAAGCTGCTTCTTTGGAACTGAAACATTCAGGTTCCTTCTCACCAGTTGAAGCTGTTTAACTATTGTTCATGTTAGTTCCCATAACTCCTCCTGTGTATTGTACAAGGGAGGCTGACCGTTTACCTGAACTCACCACGTCTATTTAAAGTCCATCTCTTCCTGTGTATCAGGTTCATATTTAGAACTTTTGATTCATGAAAGTGTTCACTTCCTACCTTCAGATGGTTCAGATTTAACTCCACACCGCTGCTTCCTCTAGAATGCAATCATCTGTGTAGCGCCTACTTCTTTATCCTCTCACAGCAGCACCGGCTCACCAGTGACTCCACTCAAACGTCGCACTATGATTATTAATTATAAGTCGTGACTTTCATTCGTATGTTCCACCCAGGAACTGATTCTGTAGAGGAGCAGTGATACAAAAATCCTCACCCTCCAAGTTGACAGGATTTGGTTCTTCAGGTTTCTTACATATGAAACTCTAGAAGTTTGAATCTGAGTTCAGGAGACCTTCATGCAGGACGGTTTCAGCTGTGGCATTGACTGCTTGTTTATGTCTTCCAGCAGATAAAAAACACCTCATAGGATGAGAAAATAAGAGTCATTGTCATTGCTTATTGAGCATATTGAAATCTTCTCATGTATCCCAGCTTGTCAGGAAGTTAGGATGGCAGTGCAGGCTCAGCTACGCCATGGCACCACCGGACCAGAGAGCATTTAGGGACCTTGTTTAAGGGTCACCGTGGTGGTGCCGGGGCTTACAGCCTTAACTGCATTTGGCACTATTTAGTCTGTTTTTTTCTTATTTTTAAAATATTTACTCACATTCTATAACGGCTGTGGTTTACATGAATTTTAGTTTTGGTAAATAAACATATACAGCAGTGAATATTTTTTTTTGTTGTACTCAGCTCTGGACTTGTTTGCTTTAGTATTGTGCCTTTTTACCTTTAGGAAATGAAATGAAAAATTATTTATTTATCCCAGAAGGGAAATTCAATTTTATTTTCCTTTCCAAAAAAAAGGAAGTCATGCATTGTTTCATCTATTAGCTGACAAACAGGCAAAATATTAGGAACACATTTCAATATAATGCAGTCAAGTCGAATTATCATCTTTTTGACACTGGCAAGAAAAGCTGAAACTGGAGAAGCTTCACGAAAACAGATTTTATTTGGTTGCGTAAAATTTCACAGTTGTATTTATTGAAGCGGTTGTACTCAAATAAGTATTTTAGATGTCGTCAGACGCGCAGTTTATCTCAAATAATGCTGCCTTGACTTCAGCTCGGCAGAAGTCCCGCCCCCACCAAACTCCACCAATCACACGGCTAAGTTTAAATGTTTCACAGCTTCTGATTGGAGGACGATTCTGCCAGTCATCACCGAGGAGGCGGGCCTTACGTGGAAGGGCCCCAAAGCACGGAAGCCAGTTGTCATGGCAACGTTGTGTGCAAGTCGCCGCGCATGTCAAGTAAGAGCAAAAGTTAGTGAGTGTTGAGCTGTTTACAGGTAGCTTAGTTTAGCTAACTAGTAGTTTGTTGTTGTTGGTTAGCCCGTTTACACTCGGTTATGATGGGAAGAGACACTCAGCTAGCTAACGGTGCTACTTTGGTGCTAAGCTAGTCGTCCAGAAGGTTCGTTCGCTGAGTGACCCGGAGAGATGTCCAGTCGCAACCTGCCCCCGGTGCGCCATTTGCCCCACTGGACCCGAGTCGGCCGCCTCGAGAAGCCCTGTTCCCCGCGACGTGTACCGGCGAACCGGCTGCAGCCGCTGCCTGCTGTCCCGCCGGCGGACAGAGGAGCGGGGCCGGCGGCCGCGGAGCAGCCCCGTCCCCGCGGCATGGACCCCCGCGTCGAGTCGCTGCAGAGGAACATCCAGTTCCTGCAGCAGCAGCACCGGGACACTCTGGAGAAGCTGCACGCAGAAGTAGAGTACCTGAGACGGGAGAACAAAGGTGAGGAGGCCGGTGTGCGGTGGAGCAGTGGTAGAGAACGAGCTGGTGAAGGGTTCACAGAGAGTTTAAGGCTGTTTGCAGGAGTTAGTCTGAATGTGTGGTCTAATAGTTTGGATAATTGTGATTAATTTGTTATAAAAAAAAATGATGCTTTATGATGCTGATCATAAATAAATAAGTAGGTAAACTTTAATTGTTGGATGTCCCACTAAAAAGTTTTTGAGTTTATGAAAAATAAGATAAGAATACACTATTTAAACTTCTAAAATAAGGGGAAAAAAGCCAAAGAATAAAGTTAAATTGAAGATAATGTTCAGATTTGGCCTCTCTGAGACTTCTTCCTAGAAAATGGATGGAAGACAGAGCACCTCATTAATCCCAGTGGGAGTCACAGGAGATGAGGGATTCATCAAGGAATCGGTGAACTTCATGGCCCAGAAGGGCAAACAATTAATCCACAGAATTCATATCATTATTTTCCATTTACGGGGGGCGACCTCACTGACTCTGCGTGTAATGAATTCACGTTAATGACAAAGACCTGACTGTCTCCTGACGAGCCGCTGACAGCCGGGACATTCAATCTGGGTACGGTGGTCGCATAGCAACTCCGGGGTTTGGATGGTTCCTCAGTGGGAGGTGGACGGAGATCCGGTGTCGCTCCGTATAACCACCACCACCACCCACCACGACGCTCTGCACTCGTCTGTCTCTGAGCAGTCAGGTCGCTGTCGACACGTGGCCCGGTCGCTGGGACTCGGGCCTCCCCTCGATGTGCTAAAGTTTCTCTTGTTATGGATGTTGCAGAGCTGCAGTACAAGCTTATAATGGAGCTTCCCAGGTCCAGCAGAAAAGGTAAGATGGAACTTATTGTTGTTTACGTTGTACCCAGGCAAACAGACTGACCTGGATAAAAGCATCTCTCATGTTAAGACTAATTACTTATTGTGATGTTTAAATGTGAGATGTGGAGAAATTCCAGTGAGATGTAAGATGAGAATCTGAGCTTTTGGACAAACTAATAAATTATAAAACCTTGATTACACCTAATCACGACAATCCACAAACCCATGACTACCAGCAGGCAAAATTGCTGTTTTTCATTTCAGCTGAATCTCATTTGACGAATTACAAATTTAACGACCCTCGTCTTTGGTCCTCTCTCTTCCAGGACTGACACACAGCCGGCGAGACCCTCGGCCGCCCACCCAGGGCAGGGAGGCCCCGTCTGGACTCTACCTGGAGGAGCCGCTGCAGGACACGAGACCCTTACAGGACCAGGCTCCCAGGTTCATTTACTGCCAGCTGCAGCCCATACTGACTTAGTGACTCTCCTACATCAATAATGATAGTTTAGGAAGGAGTTCTGGCTTTTACAGAAGATGAAAATCCTGTAATGTCGCCATTAAGAGCAGGAAAGCAGCTGTTCAGCATGTACTGGGATTTTACTAAATTTACTAAAAATGAGATGTAAAAATAACACTAATAAAATCATTAATCACACTGAGGAGACGAACACAGTGATCTCTACGTGTTCTGGTACCAAAGGAACGCTGTGGAAAAAAGAAAAAGACTGTAAAACACCAGCAGTGTGTGTCCACAGTCCAGATTCGTAGCTATCGTGATTTCTGGCGTCTCTTCTT